CTATGTTTGTAATTATTTATCATTTGGATCTATTCAAGACACTTGGTGGTGGAATGACGAGGTGCAAAGGGCTATTCAAGAGAAGAAAGAGTGTTTCAAGCATCTCTACCTCGACAAGAGTGCAACCAACATTGAGAGCTATAAAATAGCGAGAAGGGCTGCAAAGCGTGCCGTGAGTGTAGCGAAGGTCAGGCCTATGATGACCTCTATCAGCGCCTAGGCATGAAGGAGGGGGAGAAGGACATTTATAAGATAGCTAGGATTCGGGAGAGGAAGACAAGGGACATCAACCAAATCAAATGCATCAAGGCTGAGTCGGATCGGCTACTGGTGAAGGATGGGGAGATCAAGGACAGATGGCGTGAGTACTTCGACAAATTGTTTAATGGGGAGAGTGAGGGTCCTACCCTGGAGTTGGTTGACTCATTTGAAGATACCAATAGGTGCTTGGTGAGGAGAATCCGAGAAGCAGAGATAGGAGAGGCTATGAAGAGGATGAAGGGAGGTAAAGCAATGGGCCCTGATGGTATTCCTATTGAGGTGTGGCGATGTTTGGGCGCCAGAGCGTTAGTATGGTTAACTAAGCTTTTTAACCTTATCTTTCGGTCAAACAAGATGCCTGATGAATGGAGGAGAAGTACTTTAGTACCGATCTTCAAGAACAAGGGTGATGTTCAAAGCTGTGGTAACTACCGTGGGATTAAGTTGATGAGCCATACGATGAAGCTCTGGGAGAGGATTATCGAGCATCGCCTACGACGAGTGACGAGTGTGACCCAAAACCAATTTGGGTTTATGCCTGGAAGGTCGACCATGGAGGCGATTTTCCTAATACGACAGTTGATGGAGAGATATAGGGACCAAAAGAAGGACTTGCACATGGTCTTTATCGACCTTGAGAAGGCTTATGACAGAGTACCGAGGAATGTCATGTGGTGGGCCTTAAAAAAGCACAAAGTCCCATCTAAGTACATTACCCTCATAGAGGATATGTACAAGAATGTGATGACGTGTGTTCGAACATGTGGGGGCGATACCAGCGATTTTCCAATAAAAATAGGACTACACCAGGGGTCAGCATTGAGCCCTTATTTATTTGCCTTGGTGATGGATGAGGTCACAAGGGACATACAAGGTGATCTCCCTTGGTGTATGCTCTTTGCTGATGATGTGGTGCTAGTTGACGAGAGTGGGGCCAGGGTAAACAGGAAGTTAGAGCTGTGGAAGTACACGTTAGAGTCGAAAGGCTTCAGACTTAGTAGGACGAAGACCGAGTACATGACGTGCGCTTTCAGCATGGCTACTCATGATGATGGTGATGTTCCTTAACGGGCAAGTGGTGGCCAAGAAGGAGACTTTCCGGTATTTAGGATCGATGCTACAAAAGGATGGCGGTATTGATGAAGATGTTAGGCATAGAACTGCAGCCGGTTGGTTGAAATGGCGTCATGCTTCGAGCGTTCTATGTGATAAGAGGGTGCCACAAAAGCTAAAAGGTAAGTTCTATAGGACGGCGATTCGCCCGGCGATGCTATACGGTGCTGAATGTTAGCCTACAAAAAGGCAACATGTCCAACAACTAAGTGTAGCAGAGATACGGATGTTGCGTTGGTTTTGCGGGCACACAAGAAGAGATAGAATCCGAAATGAGGATATTCGTGATAGGGTCGGGGTTGCCCCAATTGAGGAGAAATTAGTTCAACATCGGCTGAGGTGGTTCGGACATGTCCAACAGAGGCCTCCTGATGCACCGGTGCGCAGGGGAGTTCTACAGCGGGCCGATGTTGTTAAGAGAGGTAGAGGTCGGCCTAAACTCACTTGGGAAGAGTCGGTTCAGAGAGACCTTAAAGATTGGAATATCTCCAAGGATTTAGCGGTGGATAAGAGCACTTGGAGACTAGCGATCAACGTGTCGGAACCGTGACTTTTGCTCCTTCCTCTTTTGCTCCAATCTTTTTTTTTTACTACTGTTTCTATTGGGTTTCATCTCTAGCCTACCCCAACTTTTTTGGGACTAAAAGGCTTTGTTGTTGTTGTTGTTGTTGTTGGATCTATTATTACATAAAATGATATAACAAATATTAAAAAATGGAAAGAGAATAATAATTATATAAACATGTTAAATAGTAGTATGAAAATAAATAGAATAATTTTAAAATAAAGTAATGTAATAAAGTACAACTTTAAAACAAATTGATATATAATAATATTAGTTTCACTCTTTTGTCCATTTTAGCTACAAGTTAACATGTTCACCAACTTGGTAGAGGTTCTCACTCTTATCATCCGTCAGCAAAAGTTCCCAAATCAGAAAAGCAAAAAAATCCTTTCATTCTTCGTTGGCATCCTCCACAGCGAGGCGCTCCCCACCACCGCGCTCCTACAATTGCCAGTGCCTCTCTCAGTCTCACTTCGATTTGTGGGCCTCTCGACCGATGGGCTATTCATCACGTCGCATGCTCTAGACTGGCCTCTCGGCTGAAGGCGGCTCCGTGGTTTAGATGGCGTGGTTGGGCGATTTTGCTCGGATTGCCTTTTCTTCCAATGGTCTCCTGTCCCCTGGTGTTGGGGGTAGGTTTCCATTGGTGGTGTGGGATCGCTGTTCCGGTGGCGCCTCGCCTTCGGTTGCCGGTAGTTGACGGGGGGGTTGGAGTTTGGTGTTGATGTGATGATTTGCTCTCTTCTCGTCTTATCGTCGTCCCTGGGGTTGGGCGACGGACTCCGCCGAGGTGTGAGTCGTTGGCTCTAAGGGTTTGTCGACCTCGGGCTACTGGTCAGTGGACGGTTGGTGTTTTGGGGTTGACATTCGTTATGATGACACGAGGTTAGTCGACCTTATAGAAGCTTGTGGTTTAGGGGATTCTTGTTAGGCGTTTTACAGCAATTTCAGATTCGGTGCCATGGACTGAGTCTCTGTTCGTGGAGTTGGTAGCCCTCGGTGGTTGGTGGTGAGGTGGCCTGTAGTGTGGCTTGTCGGTTGTTAAGGAGGACTTTAATTTAGTTATTCGGTTTTGTTGTGTATGTGTTTGTGATTGTTTGTGTCAGTCGTTTTTCTTATTCTACTCCTTGAGAGCGTGTATTATTCCTATTGGGAGCCACATGTTGCAGTTCTTTTATTTAGTGTTATGATGTGGTTTTTAGGCTATACCTTGAGTAAAGCTTCAATTTCGATTACTTAGCCGCTTGCAACTATGTGTTTGCTTTAATGAATCTATTGTTTCCAAGAAAAAATAAAATGTTCACCAACTTATACATGAGATTATATAACATTCATATATGATAGGGCATGTGATTGAAAGATTACAAAATTCTGACACGCGACTGATGATGTGATCACGGACGGTTGGTAGTAATCAATTATATGATTATCATATTAGACAAAACTTAAATCATAGGTCTAGAGTCAAGACAATTTGGATTGGGCTCAACATATTTATCAAAGCCCACATTTCATGGGACTGTAAATCACTCCAGCCCAAAATAAATCTATCAAAATTTGGCCCATAGCTTGAACGATCAAACGGGCGATCGCTTTCATATTCATCGCCGTCTCTCTAAAGAAGAACAATCTTCGTACAAAATCAGAAATTAAACCTGCAACAATCAGAAGAGATCTCAGGTGCAAATTAATGATGCTATGTTTCTGTAGATCGCAAAGGGTTTGATTTTGTTGTAAAAAATTATCTTGTTTTGTGTATTTTATATTCGCTCGCTTGCTAATTCCCTTCGTCTTTCATGGATAAATTTTTCTCTAAACTCGTCTGTAGATTGCAAATTTTATGGCTGAGGAAGCTTTTAATTTGTCGTTTTTAATCTCTGGGTAGCGAAATTTGTTTGGTTTTCAATTTTTGCTGTGCTGGGCCATTGAGAATTGGGAAGGTCTAGTTGCCCTAATATTATTTGGGAGATGCTATGGTGTTAGATCAACTATCCTCGACGGTTACAAACCCCGACGGAATGGTTCCGAGACCGTAACATTTCCCTTTTATTGATAAAAATTGTTGTTCTAGGTATGCTATAGCAGTGTATGTGGGCAATGTTGGCTTGGAAAATAGAACTAAGAGAACTGAGCATTAATGTCTGCCTCAGGTTTAAGGTCATTCTTTAGCATCTAAAATGGTGACAAGTGGGTTGTTTCATAGTTTACAAAAAAATGTTGGTAAAGTATGATATGCTAGCTGGGAAGTATTGTCTCACTAATTTTCATGATAATGCGTGATTCAGATTTCAGGAATGGATTTTTAAGGGTTAAATTACTACGACAGTAGATTTAAACGATTCCGAAAGAACGTCCGGTTTTCGAATTTACAATTTAAGTATCTGAACTCTGAAAAAAAAAAATGATTTGCTCATGAAGAGAAAACTTATTCTGTGGTGCAATGCAAAGATTGGGTTATGTTTTGACGAGAACTGGTTAGAAATTGGTGGGGGGAAATGAGAACTGAACAAGTTTTTGGCATTGGCCTCATTGAGCGTATGTCAGGTCATTCTTTTTATACTTTTGTACAGCTTCTTTTGGCTATGTGCATCGTACTTCGATAAATTGTTAAGGTTACATGTGGATAACAATACCTTTTTTTTCCACAAGAAAGTTTTCACCTCCATCGATTTAGTCGGCTTATTGCATATCTTAATTTCCAGTTTCAATAAGTTCACGTTGAAGTCTATGAATGATTAGTTCTTGATGGTATGCAATATTGGAGTATCTTAGTTGCAGGCCATCCACCATTCTATCTGAAGCTATTCGAGCTCGATTTAAATAAAGGGGAAAAAAAAAAAAAATCGACAAGCTTTTTACACGATTCTTGTGCTTGCCCATATCAATAGCCTCGATAAGCTTAATATCTGAAATTGCGTTTAGTTGTGCACATTTACAATTTACTATCATATGCTGCAGTTTAGTACAACAGTAAATGCTTCTATTTATTTGTACAGTAAAATATATAGCTGTAGCTTTTTTTTCCCTTTATTAACTAACTGAAAATAAAGGAGCTTTTTACATGGCCGGGAGAAACCACCGGATGCCCCGCCACCCGGAAAATTTCCGGGAGGATTTCCACCCAGGCCCGCGCCATGGGCCCATTCTCCGGGCCCACCCGGCAGCCCTGGAAGAGGAACTGGAGCTCCAGCACCGAGAAATCCAGCGAGTGTCAGCAGAAAACTATCGTGTGGTGGACGAGAATGTGAGGCTGCAACGGGACCTGACATCCGTGAAGGATGAGATCCACCGGTTGGGCCGGGTCGTGATGCCCAATCTACAGGCCGAGATGGAGGCCCAGAAGCGGGAGCTGGTGGAGCGTGGGCTGAAGGTTGAGGCTGAGGTCCGGGCCTCTGAGCCCCTGAGGGCTGAGGTGGCCCAGCTGAGGGCTGAGGCCCATAAGCTTGGGTTGGAAAGGCAAGAGCTGGGGTCCAAGGTCCAGGGCCTGAGCAAGGATGTGAGCCGGCTGAAGGCAGAGAATAAGCAGGTTGATTCGATGAAGTCCGATGTGGATAAGGTTCGTAGCGAAATCTTGGATGCTAGGTACGTGTTTTTTTTTTAATCTTTTAATTAATTTATGTAATCATCAATATTATTACTAATTAGTTAAAAAAAAAGAAAAAACTCTGACCTTGGGATTTTCGAATATATTTCGTTTGAGTGAAGTGTTTGGCTGTTTTATGTAAAACTTCTTTTTTTACTCAGACGAGCTTACGAATATGAGAAGAAAAGGAATGAAGAGGTGGTGGAGCAAAATCGGGCCATGGAGAAAAACCTTATCGGGATGGCTCGTGAAATAGAGAAGCTGCGTGCTGAGCAAGCTAACGCGGACAGGAGAGGAAAGGGTACTTAACTTTCTTTCCCATACTCCTACACAAACGCATGTGTACACTAGACAGAGCATATTATTTCTTTATTGAAATTCATAAAAGTTGTTTATGTATGTTTTACACAGGGGCTGGAGGATATGGGCTGGTAAACGGAAGCCCAGACACGAAATATCCAGGCGTGTATGGAGACGTATATGGAGCCGGGCCTTTTGGCCCGTACGACAAACGTCAAAGGCGTTGAAATCTTCATCAAGAAACTATGGCCATGGAGAACTGATGTTTGATCAGGCTTTTTTCAATTTTCATCATGAGGTTAGCTTATATTCTTGTGTGTGGCAAAAAGAAATTGTTTTCCTCTCTTTAGAGAGGAAACCCTCTTAACGAGACCTCTACAAGTGTATATCAAAATGTTTATGCTAATTCTGATATCATCATTTTGATATACATACAATTCTCTTTTGAAATTATTTTTTGATTCCTATGATACAATAAATAATTGATAATTAATTAACTTACTTTAATGGACTGAGTAGATTAGGTTATCTATCTAAATAATTTGAATTAAAATTCTATAACTATACTTATAGACTTTAAAAATAAAGTAGTAATTTGTAACTAAAAATCATTAGTTTTTTCAACCTTAAAATAATATATATTACATCAATTTAAAATTCTAGAACTATACTTATAAACTTTAAAATAAAGTAGTAATTTGTAACTAAAAATCATTAGATTTTTCAACCTTAAAGTAATATATTTTACATCAATTTGAAATTGGTATCTTTAGGTTTTATTTACAGACTAAATTTTATTTTGAAATATTATCCAATATTTCAACTTTGAAATTATGAATGGAAAAAAAGTTATGGTGATAAATTAGGAATATAAAAAGACATCAATTAAGGAGTATTCTTTGTCCACCGTTTATGTGACATGCGCACATTGGTGATATATTTTTTTTTAACATACCGTGGATAGGGGAGCATTATACTCCTTTTTTTTTTTTTTTCCAAAA